CCAGATAGACCGGCCGACGGTCCCGCTGCCGGTTATCGACACTTTTTGAGGGCTCCGCTGGGAGAGATTGATTAACAGGTTCCGTTGTAAGGCCGGAAGCCCCCGGTTTGGCCCCTCCTGCTTGGCGTGAGCCGCAGCACGCCGACTGAAGGGGGCTGGGTGTGGTTTGGCTCAGTTTTTGTGCTGTCTTGTTGTAAAGCGGCTTCTGTAGGAAAAGCCAAAGTAAAAAGGTGACAGATGTATGTCAAAAATGGTAATGTTTTGTTTGGTTGGTTGGGCAGAATGGCAATATGTTGTTTTTTTTTCTCAAAAATACCATAATCATATTTACTTAACGACCGCTTTTAAAATGTCTGAGTTGTTTGTGCATAAGCTGAGCGTTCTTTTTATCAACTGCTAGTGCAATATTATTACATAATATCGTGAATGAAATTGGTGTAGGTGTGGCTTAAACATGAACTAACATCCTATGGCGTTCTCTCATAGTGTAGCGGATACTGTATTTTTGGCAATTCCTTCGCATTTTCAACAAATACCTTAGAAAATATAGAGCCCTTGTCATCATTTGACACAAAAGAGCTTGCTGCTTTTCCAAGTCTTTCCTGCACTGAACAACTGCACGAGCATTTTGCTGTCATTCATAGTCCCCTTTTCACGCATAACGTATGTTTTATGCAGTTCCGTACGTCCATTACCTTTCTCCAAACACGTTACAAATTTTCTATGTAGTCTTTTCGCCACTGGTTGCAGCACATATGCTGCTACACCATCCACATAGCTGATCGCCTCTTGAGTAAGCAACAGAGCAGCGCATGTTCTCCGTGAGCTCACCACGAGCCTACTTCAACTCTTCTCGCTCTGTCTCTCGGCTGTGCCCGCCCCGCTGGCTCACGTGACTTTGCCATGGGCCCCGCATCACTCGCCCGGTGACTTGACCTGATGTCTGGCATGTCATTTCAGTACGAGGTTTCGCTGCCGACTCCAGTAGAGGTGCGAAGCTTGAAGCCATTTCCGTTTGTGTATACCCTTTATCCGACAGATGTGCGTAGATTAGCCAAGGTATCGGTCGTGCCTCGCGCGCGCGGACGGGCGTGCCGTGTCGTGTTGGTTGTCACCCGGTCCGAGTGTGGCTCACCGCTCCTCCGTCGCTCGCCCTCTCTCTCTTTCTCTCTCTCTATCTCTGTCTCTCCCTCTCGCTCGCTCGCTCGGCCACGCTGCTCTCACCCTGTCTGCATCTCGGCGCGGGTGGAAGGTCTCGAGCTCTTGTCCGGCACCCGGTGCGCACTGGTACCCCGACGGTAGCGCCGCCGGCGGGGTTTAGTGCCCGACTAGAGCAGACACGCCGAGCCAGCTTCGTCGCAGGGGCGTCCACTGCACCTCGACCGACTAAACGTGGGCGGGAGCGTTGTCTCGCGTCAGTTTAATATGCGCATACAAGTCACGATGTAAAAATTTACTAGTATGCACGTTGATTCACAAGTTATTAGACGTTTCATTCCTGCTTTGGTCTACAAACTTCTGCGTGGACAGCGTCAGCCGAGGTGCAGTGGAACCCCGTCCCTTTTCTCCCTTTCTCTACTCTTCCATGCAGAAAATAGTCTCCTCTCTTTACGGAGAGGACCTTCAGCTAGAGTGCTATCCTCTTGAGTAATATGAACGCCAGCAGAGCCGACAAGGGCCAAAATTCTTGCAGGACCTCCAGGGAACAGAGGTTTGCCGAGACGTATTGATCGCGTCTCGGCCGGTCTGAACTTCTGTCGCGTCCCGTTGGGCTTCTGCTGGCGTGCCGGGCTAGTTGGCTCAGTGCTGAGTTTTCTCCAGCTGCTTCCGCCTGAATGTGTACCTAAAGGCGTGTTTGGCGTGGTGCTGTGATACTGTGTGGTAACACTCCGTTCGAGAGGCCTCTGTACGTACCGTCTGCGCGTGACTGGTGTGTCGTGAGTGTTGACTGCCTGCCTCCCCTCTGAAGAATGACCGGCGCTTTGGAAAGAGCTTCCAGTCACCCAAGAGCGCCGGCCTGGCACTGAGATATGATGGGATCAAAATTTAACAGCTCAACGAGAGGCTTTCTTTGTTGGCAACAGTTTTTACGTGCTTGTCTACATTGTCCCTGACGCCTTCTCGCTGGCTCCCGTGATTGCCGGAAGCTCTGGCCGCGACCGCGAGCGCCGTTTGCTTCTACGCCTCGCCCGATTTCGGAGATTGGAAATCAGCAAACTTCTAGATTCCTTCATCGCGCCGGCTTTGTAATTTTCGTTTGCTCGGTCTGCTTTGATTTGCCCTCTCCTCTAAGTTCGCACGTTGGACATATTTTCGAGGCAATCGCCGCTCCGCATGTTACCTCGCTCTTTGTCTGGCTGTTACCCATCGCAACGCGCGCCCCTACGTCCCGCGCCGGCGCCTGACGCGACATCTGTGCGGTTTCAGTACAACCTGGACTTCCGCGGTCTGTCGCCGCGCGGCCCCTCGTCGTCGCCGTATCGGGGCACGGACGCCGCGGACGACGTGCTCGGCTCGTCATCCGGCGGCGGCGGCAGCGTCGCCCAGACAGCCTCCTCCGATCCCAACATATGACAGTTGGGGATGGCTCGGAGGAGCAAGGGCGACCCCCGCCGCACGCGGGTCTCGTTCTTGCTCTTCTAAGCCATCGTGACATCTAGGGCGGGTGGGAACACATGGCATCACTGGGAAACTCGAGTTCCGAGAATGCCGACATGTGACGATGGGAGCGCTGCACGAAACACTTCCTAAGGCTAGATGATTGGTGTCTAGCTGTACATAGAGCGCGATATGCCTGATGCAGTGACTTCCATGACACTAGAGTGTTCTGTATCTTGGTGCTGGTGTGAGAGACATGCCTGATATGGTATATACCCAGAGTACAGCGAATATGCCCCGAGACACCACACCATAATGGTCTTGCTACGAAAGCATTCGGTCTTCACTTTCAGGAAAATTGTTTAGCTCTGTTCTACGCCGAATGCGCTTCTTTTAGAATTCCGTTCCATGTCATTTAACCAGACGACATCGTTTCTGGCCTGGATCCCTTCTCTTCATTTTTCTGAAAGCATCCTTGCCTGCAGTTGCATTGAATTAATATCACGTGGCCTCACTCGCTCGTTGCGAGCTTATGTTTAAGGTATGCCCCTCCATGGTAATGTCTAACCAAAGCTTTTGTGAGAATTTTCTCTACGTAACTATGGGCGGCGGGTCTCCAAAGCGACGCCAGTAAAACAGCAGCGGGGTGAAGTGCCAAAGTTTCGGCAGCAGGTAACACACTCGATTCCCGATAGCTTTTCCAAAGATGGGCACAGAATCCGTAGGAGTTCAAACCTGGGCACATGCCAGACTACCGCACGCCATTATGCCCGCCGAACACTCCGTACCGTGACGATGCAAATGCCAGCACAAATCCAGATTCGTCGTATTTATGCTCGATGTTCTTCAATGGCCACACTGAATGGCATTTCTGGAAGCAAATACCGTGACCTCAGAGAGCCTCTTCTCCAAACTCCACACGTCTGCCCGAACTGGTAGGTACTCAGACCAACACTGTTACCTCACGAGGGGAGTAGGCTGCTCCAACGACCGAAGTCATATCCACAGAACCATGCTCGTGAATATCTGACCAGGGCCGTCGCTCTCTACCGCCGTCAGGCGTACGCCGCAAATGTAATCCCTATCTCCCCAGCTTTGGCCTAGCTTCCTTCCCGGTCCGCTGAACGTGAGACACCGACTGGGCGATGGCAGGCCCCTCCCGGCCGCTAGCCGGACACCCTCGCTTCACAGGCCGGCCGGCCCTGCCCGGCTCCTCCGGCCGCCGCCCCCACAGCAATACGCCCCGACCCCCTGGCCCGTCTCTCCGGCTCCGGCGGGACCCGGCGTGCGCCGCCGCACGCCGCTCCTCTGCGTGTCTAGCAATACTACTGCCAAAGTGTGAGGTAGCGCGCGGCGGCCGCCGCCCGTCGCGCCGCCTGGAGGGGCTTTCGCGCAACGGCGGCGCGGCCGGCCACGGGCTCGATTTTGCTCACGCCGCGGCGCTCTCGGCGGCCGTCTGCTGCGCGCGCAGCTACATATCAGACGGGTGACGCCAGCGGTGACGTCACGCCCGTGCGGCCCCGGCGGCCGGCAGCTGCGCTGTTTGCTCTGTATGTGTTCTCCGGTGTACTCGGGCCGCACCGGCCACAGTGTGAAAATCATAAAAATGAATGCTTCCAAAAATGTTAGAGTAAGCATCTCAGTGGATTACTTGCCAAGCTAGCTCAAAGTTGTTATACAATAAATTATCGTAAACATGTTAGGTGTAACTTATTGTTGTTAACATCGTTAGTCAGAACCGACTGTTGCAACCCGTTTAAGAGTAGCGACTCGCATAACATATTGTTATGATTAGTACCTGCTGCGCCGAAGCTAGTTATCTGTTAACTGGACTGTGCGAGGCCGTTAGCAGTCGGCCCGAAGCGTAGTGGCGTTTGTTACCATCCGATGCAAGCCGCCGCTTGCCAGTGGATCATAGAGGTGCTCTCGGGCGGCGATCCGGGCCGGGGTTGGCCGCGCGTGGTCGTTGAATGCAAACATTGCGGACTGCTACCTGGAACATCGACTCACCACCCCTGTTACGTTTGGGTCGCTTCTTGCGCCTCTTTTTTGGAAGGCGACGGGAGGAGTGCGTCTTGTGTTGTCATGGCGCCTTGTGTTTGTGTATCGTTGGATTTCACCAGTGATTCTGTTCGTTATATACACCCGACGATTGTCCCCAACCGAATGCGTTACCGCGCCGTTGAAAGCATTCTGGGTATGCCGTGTGCGGTTTTGCTCGCAAGTTTTAAAAGTTGTATATTTTGAACGGTATTAATAATAAATTATCGCTGTATAAGCGCCACGGTCTCCATGCATGGGTTATTCCGGATGAGCGTGTTGGAAGCAATGAACGGCATGGTGCACGTGGCAATCCGTGGGCTGTTTCCTGTCGAGGATATGCACCAACCACGACAAGCTTGTGAGCTGACAATGTGAACATTTATTTCATCCTGGTACGCAGTAAGGTCGTACCCTCCGGATTGGCACAGAACTCAGTCGCCATCGCTGAGCAGCAATATCACATCGTCGCAACACATGGGACACATAGCCATACCCACAGACACGACACGGACTGGTCCCAAACGCTCACTGCGGCGACAACTGTAGCACCAGAGCTGTTCCACGACTGACCGGAGTACATAGGTAATCATAACATGGGACGAACACAAGCATCTCAGTCTACCTTCAGCGTGACATAAGGGTATAATGGTAGCCTCGTTACCTTAGCAGGCGCGTGCAGGCCAACGACACGCCCACTTCTGGAATGGCGGTCGTGAAACTGGGGGCGAGGGCGGACAGACACTGAGCAAAGCGACTGGTTCCCTGCACGACTGCCCCTTGTGCTACGAAGTCTTCCGCCCAGCGCTCAGACGGACTACAGCACATTGAAGGCACCATCCTGCAGCAGTGGAGGTGACCGAATCAGAGTTCATTGGCGTTGGGAAGGCGTCACAAGGACCACCCACGACTTAACCAGTCTGTGGGAGACCCCTCCCTTCTCCTGTCAGATTTAGTGGAACCCTGGTGCAGCACCGTGGCTGATGGCTGACGGGCCTCGCCTTCTGTGGTCTCCCAGCTCCCCCTCACTGTATGAAATATACGCACAAAAACAAAACAAAACCGAGAGCAGTCGTTCGTCTGAGAGCGTGCGCCACGCCAGAAAGCTTCTCCTCACACATACACAATGTACTGCATTGACCAGACATACCTCAGTTCGACCATACCGCCGCAATGACCTTGGCGTCCAACCCAGGGGCGCCAGCGACGTCACTCACTTCGGGTCACCATACGCGACAGACCCTCCTCCTCAAAGGGCTCCACCGCCGCTCAAGGCTTGCCCGAGATGGAGGAGAAGGCGTGGAACGAGGCGTCCGGCAGGGCGGTCACCAGCGCCGTGGTCTGGCCGCGTGCCCGCACGCACAGCACCGCCGTGGCGATCGAGGCGACGAACAGCAGCAGCAGGATCACCACCAGGCCGACCACGAACGTCAGCACGGACAGGCAGACGGTGTCGCCGCCGGCGCCGGCGCTGGCTCCGCCCGGCAGCAGGGTGCGCGTCGCCTCGGTGATGGCGATGTCCTGTGGCGCCACCACGCGGAGGCGGCGAGCCAGCCGCACTGGCTCGCGCGCTTCGGCCCGCTGCACGGCCGCCGCGCTGGCGTTCAGCTCGCGCCGCGACCGCTCCAGCACCCGCGACACCTGCCGAGCGGGGCTGGGTCATTCTTGGTGACGTGAGACACGTGGAAGGCAGTGTTTGGTTGGGGTCAGGTCGGGGCGCGGGGCACCTTTAGTTCAGACGCTGGGCTAGGGTAAGGTCGGGAATGCGGCGCTCTTCCAGGTCGCGGTCTGGGGTCGTCAGCATAGGGTCGAATCAGGGTCGGGGTCAGAAGCCAGGTCAGGTGGCCCGATACACCTGCAGGTCACGGGTTAGTTCAAGGGAATGTTGTATTCCTACTTGCTATGTCCCGCAGTTATTGGTTGAGCGGTGTATGTACATGGGGTATTATCATTTAACCCATGTACGGAGAAGACTAGCTTGATTAAGCTAACTCAATGGCTTAACGAGGGTCAATGAAGCCGCGTAAAGTTGCGTGGCTTTACTCACTTGTGCGACGATAAAAGAGCTTGCTCCTCGCGCATAATCAAATACTTTATAGAAGCAAACCCAACAGTTCATACGGAACTCAGCTACTTCTTACTGTGACAACGTCCTCTTGGCAGAAGCCGCACTCTCCCTTGCAGAGGTCCAGATTACATTCAATGATCACGTCCATCTGTTCCGGGAACTTAAACGCCGAGAAGTAGCTGCAGGAGGGATGAACGGCGGAAGTCACGTACGGGTACCACAACTACAGCAATGCACACGGGTGACACTACACAGGTGACATCCACGACAGCACCGAGATCGAGTCACGGGATATGAAAGTGAAAAGCCTGGCAGCCGACGAAGGCTCGCGAGAGCACATTGTAAACCAAATCAAGTTGCAGAGCGTAAGCCGGCAGTGACACAGCATACCACGTATGCGGGGAGTGGCACAGCATGCCACGTACGCGGGGAGTGGCACAGAATACCACGTATGTGGGGAGTGGCGTAGCAACGCACGCAGGGAGTGGCTCAGCATACCACGTACGCGGGGAGTGGCACAGAATACCACGCATGTGGGGAGTGGCGTAGCAACGCACGCGGGGAGTGGCACAGAATACCACGTATACGGGGAGTGGCGTAGCAACGCACGCGGGGAGTGGCACAGAATACCACGTATGTGGGGAGTGGCGTAGCAACGCACGCGGGGAGTGGCACAGAATACCACGTATGTGGGGAGTGGCGTAGCAACGCACGCGGGGAGTGGCACAGCATACCACGTATGCGGGGAGTGACACAGCATACCGCGTATGCGGGAAGTGACAAGGCACACCAAGTATGCGGAGAGTGGCACAGCATGGGGAATGACAAAGCATACCGCGCATGCGGGAGTGACACAGCATACCACGTACGCGGGGAGTGACACAGCATACCACGTACGCGGGGAGTGACACAGTATACCACGTACGCGGGGAGTGACACAGCATACCACGTACGCGGGGAGTGACACAGCACACCACGTACGCGGGGAGTGACACAGCATACCTGTACGCCATGACCGCGTTATCCTGCTTTGTTTTCAACCAGGGCGACAGCAGGTTCGGCTTCATGGTGCATCCGACGTCATCCGTCAGGTTCACGTGCGACGTCCTGACATATGACGTCACGAGTCACGCACACGAGCAGCGGCCGGGGCAGCCGTGGGTGCAGGTGGCAGTGAGGTATAGGCGCGCGTCGAGAGCAGCACCGCGGTCACGGGTCAGCGCGGAGGCATGTTGGCACTTCATGCTGCTGGGTGCTGCTGAGTTTCGTTAGCCACGCCGGCTCAGCGTAGATGCGTGCGACGCTAGGCACTGGCAACTGACCAACAGCATGACTCTCAAATTGAGGTATCATTTAGATGATGTACGAATCCGGCGGCATTTTCGCCATCAATGCGGCTCACAAAGAAGCCACGGCGCTAGGTATTGCAGCTGCTCGAGAAATATTATGTTCAGAAGTATTATCTTTGGGTCGCGTGGCCCCTAACAAACCCGCATGTGTCCGAACTCCATGCTCCTAACAAAGCTGGCATGACGCGTATCATCTTTATTTAACCCACGAGTGTCTAGTTATGTCTATCCGCGTCCCACGCGTCCATGACCGAACTGTGCTGTTCCGGTCACATGCCTGACACATAGCCCCTGGTGTCAGACCTAGCCCTGGGGCCATCCCCTCACCCCACCGACCTCTTCCCGTCCCTTGCTCGGTACTGGCCCGCAGCCCCACCTGCGGCCTCGACCGCCCTGCCAGCACTGACCTGTCTCCGTTCATGGCGATACACTGCCGCACGCGTACGTCGACGTCTCGGTCGCCCTCCGCCTCCACCACCATGGTGAGGATGTCGCCGATCTTCACCAGCCCGTCCACGGACGGCGCGTACGGGCCCTGGCCGATCTGCGCCGTCGCCAGAGGTTAGGGCACGGGGTCAGGCTCGGCTGGTCAGCGGACAAGCGTGTCACAGTTCAGCTGCCGTAAGATGAGCACGCGACGGGGCACCACAACGCTGGTATCCCCCAGGCGGAAAGGCATGTCGATTGTGCAGTTTCATCAAGCTGTTTCCTTGAAAATGTGCACAGACCAGCAGGAAGTATGCAAATGTTGCTCGAATTATGCTCTTGATTGTTGCAGCAATTATTTTAGTGGTGTATTACCATGGTGGAATGAAATGCTAGTTTAGACCAGACCGGCTGTCCGCTTTCATGCGCTGGGTTATAGCACCGCATGGTGAAGTGTAACGAAAGCTGCCTGTTTTCATGCGCCGGAATATGGCATTTTGTGGCGAAGTGTGACGGAGGCTGCCTGTTTTTCATGCGCTGTAATATAGCACCGTGTGGTGAAGTATGACGGAGCAACCTTCAGACTCATTCACTTTCATGCAGAGCTGATTTTACGCGCTCCGGAAAAACTATCCGATCAGCTGGAGGCAATGTTCCAATGGCCTTTGCGCTTAGGAGATCAGTATTCTGTTATATTTAAGACGAACAAGAACCACAGCCTCTCTTAGTAACGCGCCGCGCAGTTCCATATCGGTTTCTACAACCCTGCCACTGCACGTGGTCGGTGACGCAGCTGTTCCATCCGAAGGCGACCGGTGAACTACGACAGATGAAGAGAAACCATTTCACCCATCGGCTGCTCATGCGCTTCGTGCGGCCCGCACGAAGTTCCCCGGCGCCAAAAAAGCCGCCATACTCCATATCCTGGCTTATCACCGGCCGCCCAGTCATGACCGCATCTCGCGCGTCGCTTTCCAAAGTGAGATTTTTGCGCGGACGTCGGCGGTAGCTCCTACGCTTTCCCTCCTCACTCGAGTCGCCCACAGCCACATTGGCTGATAAAAAGCGTCGGCGCCGCGCGGGGGGCCGTCCGACAGCCAGCAGGCGTCCCGCTGCGACGCCGCGGCCGCCCGCGCGCGCGTGCGTCGCCAGCGCTGTGTCGCAACCGTGTTGCACAAGCGGGCATCACTGGCGGAGCCTTGCGTGTGGTGCGCTGACCGCCGCAGGGGACAGCGTGCGCGAGAACATGCGAAGAACAGGCGATGGCCATCGAGAGCGTTCCAGGCGATGTTTTGTCGAGGCAGGTTACCCTTCCCTCGCCTTCCGCTCGTGCTTCAGTGATACGCCAGGTCGGGGGTTAGCGTGTTTCGAAACGTGTTTTTCTGGCCGCATTCATCGGCTGAAGTCATGTGTCGCTTTGTTAGTGGGATGTGTGGGATGTTTGTGCTTGTCGGAGCGGAGCTAGATGGTCTGGTAAGTTAAACGTGAAAAACCGGCCGAATATCGCTCAGACCGGCACTCACGCAAGCCCATGTTACGGATCGCGTTTATTTCCGCGTTCTAGAGCATGATGGGAGGCTTGAAATGGAAGGCTGCTTAAGGTCATCGATGCTAAGAAAGGTGCTTTGGAGATGTTTGAGAACAGCAGATGCGCGTTTCGTTTGTCTGAAAATTCCGTAGTTTTTATGTCGAAAGATAGTAAAGGAGCATTTCAACCATGTAAGATGCAACGTCACCTGCTGACAACCGTAAGTCATGTTAATTCACGCTGTCTCGATGTAGCACCTATTTCACGCGAGACACGAGCCACTTACACGTGAACCCTTGACCTGCGTCACAAAACTCGTGCGACGAGTCACCAGAACCCGTGCACCAGAGCTGCGACGTCGCCGATGTCTTCCCGGGCCAACACTCACCTGTATGTCGAGCACGGCGTTGGCCTTGGAGACGGGGTCCTCGTCCGTCTCGAATGTCACCTCCTTCTGGTCCAGCGTGTCCACGTTGAAGGCGTACGTCACGGTCTTCTCATTGACCTGGCGCGCCCCCTTGGGCCGCAGCATGCAGCGGATCTTGCGCGCCGTGTCAAACGCCTGCAGGAGATCGAACGGAGCGTGCAAGTCGTGACAGTGTCGTGAGAGGCGGCACGGGTCCGCGCGGCGGTTACCGGGTTATGACGAGCCACGCCGGCCGAGACATGTTTTTGTGTCGTTTTGTATTAGTGTTCAGTGTTGATAATCCTCACGTCTAGAGTGTTTTGTAAACAGGAAAATACACACCCTTACCAGGCATCACAACGCAATCACCAAACAACGCACGTTATTGCCACGGCTGACTTCGTCACTTTGAACAAGCGCTGGCGGGCGCAATTAATGTGTAGCTGCACGTCTTAAGCTATCCGAAACGGACAACAAATATACAATTCAAAATCCTCTAACTTTGCGCAGCACGGAAATGTTATGACCGGCCATCTCCGAGCAAGAAGAAAGTGTGTCGATGCCGGAGCGCAGGGGCTGCGCCGCCTCTTCACACAGAAGCCCACCGGAAGCCCAGACCAGTCCGCCAGTGTCGCGGATCGGCGCGGCAGAACGACGTTCCGGCGGCGTAACTTTCTGGTGCGAAGAGGGCCGCCGTAATGGGCCGGCGGCCGGCGCCCACAATGCAGTTCAGCGCACTTTCACGGCCTGCCTCGCCTGGTCGCGTGTCGGTGCCGTCCCTGCCCAGGCGTCGGCCGGCGCGGACGCTCCCGCCTCGGCGGACAGCCGCCTCCGGCCGACGGACGGCGACGGTCCCGACGCAGGCCCGCGCCGTCCTGACGCGGCTCGGGCCCGGTCCCACTGCCACCTGCAGCCGGGGATCCGTCACGGTTCCGGCGCCTCCCTGCCTGGCACCCGCCACGGTCTTGGAGCTTTCTGACCACAGGCACGCCACGACCCGTCACTAGTCGGCAGGGGTCCGCCACGGTCATGGCCACTTCCTGCCACAGACGCGCGCTCTTCCGCTTTTTCCCTGGCGGAAATCCGACATGTTTCGCCACTTCCCTGCGCGAGGTCACCACGGTCCTACCGCTCCATACGCCAGAAGATCAGGATGTTGCTTCGCTCTTCTAGCATCTTTGCAGCGCTACAGACAGCGGTGCGCCGTGCAGTCTGCAGTGATCCCCGCCCGCGTCCGGCGGCCGAGCTGCTGTGAAGGCAGGTCATCTACGGGCCGGGCGCTCACCCCGGCTCAGCCGCGCCCCGTCAGCCGCGGAACGCCAGCCGGCGGCGCGCGTGCGTGAGCTCGCTCTCGTGGCGCGGGTCGGTACGGTCGGTACCGCAGATGCGGTGCGGTACGGTTTGGCGGGCGGCGGCCCGACCGGAACCCAACCGCTCTGATGGCGTCGTTTAACCGGTTCTGCTGGTGTCATTCGTGCTCACCGGCGATGAGGGCGGCGCACCATCCGTCACCCGTCATGGTCGGCAGGAGGGCGTATCGGCAGGGAGACAGCCAGCCACACTCAGATGGGAGCTGCCAGACACGAACAGCTGGCTGGGTTGGGTCACCCAACTCAGTCAGCCCGGTACCCATCTTAGGTGCCAGGCTGAGGCTGAGACGGAGGCTGAAATTGTGACCCACCAATTATAATTCAAGGTGTTTGTTCAGTTTCTCCTGGATTATTTGGCCAGAGCCAAGGCTCTTAAAGCAATGGCCTTTCCCCTGCTGAACCCTCGAATGATCTTGACCACCGACGATAATAACATCGGGTGTTTTGTGTCCCTCCAATATGAAGATGTTCACAGAGAGGTCCGCATTTCATCGACGATCGCAGCTCCTGTTGTGTTAACGGGTCAGATCCGTCGTCTTCATGTGGACGATCAATGTGTAGTGCGCGGGCACCTCTGCCACATTCACACGACCCGTGACCCCGCGCGCCTCCGAGGTCACACATTTCGGCCCGGGACGTACTACATTCGTGAGTGTGACACCAATGTGGCGTGTCACCTGCTTGTGCTTGTACCCGCTGCTCGTGCTTGTACCCGCTGCTCGGCTTGTGCCCGTTGCTCGGCTTGTACCCGCTGCTCGTGCTGGTACCCGCTGCTCGGCTTATACATGCTGCTCGTGCTTGTACCGCTGCTCGTGCTTGTACCCGCTGCTCGGCTTGTACCCGTTGATCGGCTTGTTCCTGCTGCTCGGCTTGTGCCCGCTGCTCGTGTTCGTACCCGCTGCTCGTGTTCGTACCCGCTGCTCGGCTTGCACCCGCTGCTCGGCTTGTACCCGCTGCTCGGCTTGTACCCACTGCTCGGCTTGTACCCGCTGCTCGTGTTCGTACCCTCTGCTCGCGCCAGGATTTCACCGATACCGGAAAAGAAGGCCAGCTGTTTCCTCCGGGGCACGGCGACGCATCGCTGAGCGTGTCTGGATTTGATGTCATCCACCACCACGGCCATCAGCTGGCACTTGACTGGCCTCGGGCAGAAGGTGGCTGTGCCCCAGTCACCATTTCCGGTGAGCACTTCCGGTGTCGCGTCAGAGCTGGTGTCACCCACTCCTTTTGAACGGCTCCTATGCGCCGTCACTTTTGGCTGCATCGTCTATTGCCACAGATTCTCCGTCACTCTGCAGTATAGACAATGGGTCACTGTGGAAGGAGCCAGAAACACAAACGTTGCCGTGGAGGAGAACTTGATGCCGGATATCATCACTTACACGGACGAGCTGGTCGCCGTTCCTAGCCCGCACGTGCTGGCCCGAGAGATAACTCCGGTGCAGCACATGGACAACGGTCACCGCCAAACGACGGCTTGCGCTTCACCGCACCCTGTCAGGTACGACCAGATGCGAACTCATCCGAACTGTGCATATCACGGTCTTATGTGCTTTCATCTGCCCAGGACTTCATGTGGGATGTGTCTGGCCCAGCCCTGCAACATTTGGCTGGAGCACGACCTGGCCTTTGACCTGACCTATGACCGCCCGATTTGCGCCGGATCCGCCTTCCCCACGTCCGACCCGACCTGGCCTGACCCGACCGGATCTAGCGCCTGGCCTGACCTGCTGGACGTCTCTCGTGACCCGGTCATCCCGCAGTCGCGTGACCTCCATAGGTCTTGTATCGGGCAGGGCCCGGTCGTGAGAGTCTCTCTGGGCGCGCCCGACGCCGAGGACGATTGTATCTCTGCGGCGCCCGTGCCCACGACTCCAGGATCGTGGAAAATAACATGGCCGGTCGCCGCTAGAGACGGCGGGGAAAGTTTCCGGACTGCGGCTCCGCCAGCAGGCATTCTTCCGGCGTGGACGTCTAGCGTATCAAGTTTAGATTATCACCCAAGCTAATGAACAGGCGTCGACGTTTTGGGGAAGCTTTCTAAACGAGCACGGCATGTTCAGGCGATAGCCGAAACCATGGAGCCAGGCCGCCTACCAGGATTTATGTACAGTCGAATAGGGTGTGGTCTTACTTCCATACAGAACGCAGTTCCGGTACTTGGCCAGTCCCATCGACGGCCGTAGTACTTATGTACATCTACCGCATTCGTACATCCTCTGGCCTTTAAAACCACCGAGTTTGCACATTGTCATCAGGGATGAACTACGGCGGTGCCAGCAACACGAACTTGACACGTTACAATCCTGTGCCGGGCAAGCTATCCTATAGGTTACTATGGTCCATATGCACCTGACCTGACCTGACCTGACCGCATGCCATCTGACTTGTGATTGATCGGACCTGACCTGACCTGACCTGACCGTGTTTTACTTGTGACTGACCGGACCTGACACAGCCTGTCCCGCCGTCACCTGTTGTACAACTGGCCGGCCCCGAATCTAGTCTGGCCAGACCTGACCTGAACCTGACTCGCCTTAACGTCCTGTCTTGGTCATTCGGACGTGTAGATAAGTGGGCTACGGGCTTCCGACATGCCAAGAAGCGCACCTATTGCACAATCTCCTTTAGTTCACAGCTGATTAATGTCATTTGCATTCAGCCACTGGTCACAGTGGTATTGTAGTCGCTTTCCTTTGAACAATTGCTCCATGAAATATCAGTGCGGTAGTATCATCGGCTTTCATTAATCCCGGAAGAAGACTAGTGGGCTGTCATGAATTCTGAACATTACACTGTATCTCCATTCAACTGGGCAAAAATTCGTCTTAGGTTTAAAGATTTAGTACGTGAAGTGAAACAGACGTCCCAGCTGAAGGAACAAACTGCCAGTAATTAGATCCCTTAATTATCACTGCGAGCGCATAACTCCGTTTTATAACTATTCTAACCGTCTTGGGCTGGCACCGTTATGGAATACGTGTTTTAAGCTACAATGGACCTTTCACGGAAAAGACCCAGCGCTCACTTAATGGGAACTATAATGCCAAACTTGGAGAAAATTAGCCTTACAATAAACACGCCATTAAAGTTGAAATCGGTGGATAAAGACGCGCCGGTGGCGGCGTTAACAAGCAGTGCTGTACGAGCAGACATTATGGAAAGCAGAAACACGCGCAGCGCGCATGGTGTCGAAAACCCGTTCCTTGAAGACAGCGGACAGTCGTTAGAGTCTCCCGATATCCCAGCGACTGAGCCCAGCCTCCACCCCACCCCACCCCACCCCCTCCCTTTTCATCGACCGAGCCCCCACCGACGAGCCCCAAGAAACTGAGCCCGTCCCTCCCCCTTCACCGATTGAGCCTCCCCCCACCAACTGAGCCCCCCCCCCCCCTTCACTGACTGAGCCCCCCTTCACTATCTGAGCCTCCCCCCTCGCCCACCCACCAGCCCAGCCCCCACCGACTGAGCTCTCCACCGACTAATCCCACCTTCTGCAGGCCGACGTCGTTCTGGACGACGATGACGTTCTCCATGTAGTCGCGGCCGTCCTTGAGCCTGTTGAAGCGGGTGCCGCAGGCGTCGGCGCTGATGATGAAGGAGCGCGTGCGACCCGCCGGCCCGCCGGACGCGTGATGGCACAGTGGTGATGAGAAGTATCCCTGCGCACCACAAGCGGCACTCAGCGGCGGAGCAAGCACGTGGAGAGGTGGGGGAAGCGTAGGCTATTCGTAGAGAAGGGGGATTTTTCTTTTATGCTGCGAGGAAAGATGCCGAGGGCATTCATCATCACTTGAAGAGGCATCAATGACACTACCACGGCGCCGAACACATCATGACGACAATTATGCTACAGAACGTTAAAACCATAACATCCTCTCCTAAACGTTCATGACTTTATGAAGCAATCACTCAAGTACCAGTGAATGCACTCGGTACAGTCACACGTGTGAGTGCGACCTATCGCACATACAGACCGGTAATTTCGATGAAACCGAGACAGCCCGGTGTCAAAAGATCTCGTCACGCCTCAATGAACAGGGTCGCTCCTGAATGCTTTGTTACTGGACCGATGTTCCGGATCGGAGCACCTGTTCAGCGTGCACAGCGCTCTGCCCAAGCGGCATTGGCTGGGTGATAATTCTGACTCCCTCGCCCGCATCTAAACACCAACTGTGGAGTAAAAATGCCGCCATTGTTCTGTCAAACTCGTGAATAAATCGATACTTGCCACTACCGGGCGGGCTCAGGGTGACAGGCCTACCCGCCACCATGGTCGCAGAGCATGCCCGGCCGACAGGGCACAGACAGCTGACAACTGACGGCGACAAATGGCGGCGCAGCAACGATCGCAAGCGGAAATTATCGCAGCCAATGCTCAGTCAAATGACAGAGGACACATGAAGGTCAGCACGCCGAGTACCATGAGGGAAATGGTGCAAAAAAGTATTGCCGGGGATGCTTTCCCTATCGTGACCTGATGTACGGATGCATGGACTGACACCGCAGCCGCCAGCAGGGCTGATGATGCCAGTGCGGCAGACTCCACCGCTGGGCTCTTCAGCGGCATAGGTGAGAAACACGCGGTGTGGGATTGGATCGCGTTATCTTCCTTTGATGAATTTGATTGGCTGACGACCACCTCACTTCCGGTGTCGATATCGTCGCCTTGTGTCCGTTTCCCAGCGTTGTGCTAGACGCGCCGCCATTTTCTGGAGGACGTCACGTCACTCACTGATGGCACTAGGTCAGGCCCCGGCACGGGAGGACGTCACGTCCTTCGCTGATGGCACTAGGTCAGGCCCCGGCACGGAGGGATCTCGGTCACCAAGTCACCTCCGGCCGAGAGTGGACCCAATTATTGCTGTTGTTTGTCCCACTGTGGTGTGCCGCTTTGGTCAAAGGGAACAACAAGAGCCTTGAGGTTGCAAATGTGGTTTCATAGCAGTTTGTTGAGAAAGCAAATGACGGTACTTTTGCAGTGTTCAGAACGCACCAGGCCGTGCATGGCTTAAGATATTTCATTCAACTGTCTTTTCAACGTTTATGTCTTTTCCATGTTTGTTATAGACAGACAAAAAAAGAGAAGTGAAGTTATTTAGGAGCAGTGGCGCATTTAACATGCTCTCGCAAACATGACAATATAGGTTGGTCGTGGTATGCTGTGAAAATGATAGCAACGCAACCGTGGTTTGGGAAAGATGCTGAGATCATCATCCAGGGGCACCGGCTCTCGCAAACATGACAATATAGGTTGGTCGTGGTATGCTGTGAAAATGATAGCAACGCAACCGTGGTTTGGGAAAGATGCTGAGATCATCATCCAGGGGCACCGGGCACGAGCTCCAGAGCGGGCGCATTGTTTGGTCCGGCTGACATGGGAAGGCCAGCTGGCATCTGGCTGACGAGGATCAACTTAGAGCAGGGCGGCCATGCCACAGCAGTGTGCGGCACGTAAACCCCTCTACAGACTTGTCTGGAGAAAGGGCGGAGGTAGCATTGTTGCTTAAGCCAGACGGCACAGCTTGGGTGATGGGTACAAGGTACACGCGACCAACTCTACATAGCAGGTGCTTCGAAATGAAAGCCACCCATGCAAACCATTCGGAATACTTGGTGAAAGCAACGTCAGGTCTGATGTGCTGCAATGTCCCATGCTTGTGCGTCCCTGTCGTGATGGAAGTTATGTGCACGAATGACAGCTGTTTAACCCTCTGGCCTTCCCGGCGTCCTCTAAAGAGACTTTTGACAGTGTCCATCACGCGTGTGTCCGTATTGCTACGGAATCCTCCTACACAACCTGCACGAAAAACCTGCTGTTAGCAGCCAACAAACCGCCACTTTGTCTTCGTAGGAGAAAACTTGCTCTGAACTACGCTATCAACGTGTCAAAATCCCCTCACTATCCGGCATATACCGCACTTTTTGGCAGATGTTGACTCGGTTGTCCTTAAAAAGGGGTGTCTTCATCAAAACCCTTGCGCTTGCGTCTACGATGTTGGCTGGGTGAAGCGGGTATTCATTTCGACGAAATCACCCGACGACCGTTTGATGATCTGCCCCGTGGTGTCGCAGAATCCCGCCGCTTGATTTTCATCTTCACCGAGTTAAAAGGTAGCGTACCCGGGGAGGAGTTTGCCAGAATGGCAGCGGAGTGAGTACCTCTTTACCACAGCTCAGTGAAGAGATGTACTGACGGCTCCAAGGGTCCCACTGGCAGTGTCCGTGACTTCGTTTGCGGAGACGCGGAGCGAGGCTTCTGCCCACTACGGTACCTAGCAGTGTTCTCTTCTAAAGTTTCCGCCATCCTCACGGCGTTAAAATATATCCAATGTCGTACGGAACACAACTTTCTGATTTAACTGACTAGCTCAGTGCCCCTATCATTAGACCCAGTCTCAGCATCTCGTGACCACCCGCACCACATACCATCTGTTTGGGATAAACTTAACAAATTACACAATCCAAATGTGAGTCACCTTCATATGGATTCTTGGTCACATCGGAATTGAGGGAGCGAAAGAGCAGACGCCGCAGCGAGACCAGTCCCATGTCGAGACCAGCCCCTTCCCATCAATCTACCGGTGGGTGACCTGAGTTTAGTAGTTACCTGGCATATTCATGCCAGGTTGCAACATGATTTTGAGGAAGGAAATTGAGTATTCAGTCCCACTAAACCACTGATTGGCGAGTGGGAACTGTCTGAAGAACTGAAATATTTTAGGAGATAGCTCTGTGTCGGCTTCGGCTTTGACACACCTAGGCTACGCACTCGTTTTATCTATCGGACCAGGACAAGTCACAGTGCGAGGGGTGTGGCGAGTGGCTGACCGTTGACCATGTCCTGACCTCGTGTCGTTAATATGACAGGGATTGTCTGCACTAGCGCCCCTTTCCCGGCCCCTTAATTATGGTCCATACTGTGACGTCATCAACGCACCCGCCTTCTTAGACCAAGTGACTTTAGAACTATTTGTAGCCGTTCAACCGTATAGACATACAGATGAAGTGCGCAGAAGTTATAAGTGGCACAGTTCTAACCGAGTGATGTGCAGTTGATCAGTCTGTCTACCACGGTAGCTATCAGCGTTCTCCACTTATTGCGGAAAACCATTTCCAAAACTCCATGCTTTACCGAACTCTACCAAAACTCAAGTAAACAGATAGTTTAGGAGAGGGCGCGAAACGGCCACGTAGTCGACGCTCCCATACAGTCATTAGCATCCCCTTGTAGTCGTCTCTGAGATTCTTAAATAATTTTGGACGATCAAAACAGCTTTCTACGGCATTTTGCGTGGAACGAGCGGAGAGTTCCGTCTGAAAGAATAATTGTTTAAACCCAACAAATTCCGAACACAGGAATACTACCATTGTTGCGCTTTGTCTTCGGGCTTATTCTATAAGCTGAAACGCTGCCACGGTCAGTATGCTATAAAGTGGTACGCTGTGGCCGCGCTGAGATCATATATTTTAAAATTATTTTTGCGTAGCGGACAAACTTAAAAACATACTATGAAGCAGAAGCACATGCCCCAACCTTCCAAAAATTTTCAAATACGATTTTTTCTTCGTCCAATCGCCTTGACGCCAGCCCATCCAGCCCACGGAGCCGGCAAATCAGCGCGACTCGGTTCACTCACCTTAGAGTAGATGATGCCCTCGAACGGCCGGTCGAAGGCGATCTGGAGCTGCATGCTGTCGGCGGCGCACTGCACGTTCAGGCTGGTGATTTGGGGCGCATTTTGAGGTCGGATCAGGTCGGCCGGCGAGAGACTGCCCGCTCCCAGGTCTGTCCGAAACAGAAGGTCAGTGAGGGGGGGGGGGCGAGACCGGCGGCGGACGGAGACAGCCTGTCAGGGCTCAGGTCTGACCAGACAGCGGGGCAAACGGTGCAAGTACGAACCGACTCGGTCGGTTTGGTGGCAGGGTTGTCGACAGGCAGCAGAAGGATCGCTGCTGTTACAAAGTACGCTCATGTGGATGGTGAAAAATTCTGGTTTAGTAGAGGTTGCGTTGCGCTTCTGGAGGACAGATCAGTCATGGGTGCCTTCCAGTGATGTACTTTCCTATAAAGTTCAGGGGTAGTGGGGAGGGTTGCACCCCCGACTTTAAGAATACAAGTGGCAAAGTCCGATGTCCGAATCTGAACACCATTCTCCCGGTATCTTGAAAGAAGGTTTAGCCATTTGCCTTGTTCAGTCCCCTCAGGCATTTTGCGGAATTACAAATTTGATGTCTGTAGATACAGGAGACAGAAAAAGATTCTCGGATACAGAGTCATGCTATGGTTTGGTGCATGGGACCTTGGAACAGCTCCAATGGTTGATATATTTCCCCTCACGTGATCATGTGCATCAACTTTTGTGCATAAAAAACACTCCTTAACGTCTTTGCGACAAGCTAGTCACCTTTTGTGTCAAACAAAACAGCACCCTCCTCAGAGCCACTGTAGAACGGGTTTCTCCAGCGTATGAGAACATCCTGTATGCCGTGTTATTCGAGAAGTGGTCCATCTTACATTATTGCAAACTGCACGCTTGAGGCTCTTGCTTAATTGCTGTCGTTATACAGAAATGAAACGTCTTGCAGGTTGCAAGCAAGCTATCATTTTCATCAGCCGTCTCCTCCTGTCAGCTCAAGCGGGTCACATAGCGTGAAAATAGTAGTTCGAATGCGTTTTGTTCTGAGCGGTTGTTAGGAGCTGCTAGAATCGGGGAACTGATAGGGCGGGCACGGACTCCGACCCAGTTCCTCATCATACCCCGAAGTCGAGATGAAACGCCGAGGAATGTGGATATGCTTAGTAGGAAAAAGCGGCTCACGCTTTTACTGTCACGCCGACGACAGCACGCTTCCAGGAAGTACAAGCCCACACGGGTTTCACTAACGTGTTGTATGCAAACGTAATTGAAACACGACTTACACAGACGGAAGTTAAGAATGAGTTTGGAAGAGCCTGCGAGGGGATGGGTTAAGCCGCTTAATGTGTCAGTTAGCACCACCGAACAGCGCTGCGATCACATTAGACATGCTTCGGCATAACTGCGTAGAAACTTCCCTTGACATTCCATTTCAACGTCTAACGGGTTTGAAAGAGAAAGTGCTGCGACCGCTCGATCATCCTTTGACTGGCATGCCAGCCCTAAAGTCTCAAACGTCCTTAATACTGGCGGAAGTGTATCGCAAGTATACATATATATATATATATATATATATATATATATATATATGTAATTCGCGAACATGAAGCGGTCAACCGGCAACCGGAACACGCACCATTTCTGTGTATCATTATCAGCCAGCAGCCCAACGAAGTGCAGTATTTCTGTCGGCGAACGTGGGCTAACGCCGCAATGGACGCCCCTGCCGCGGTCGCGGTCACCGGCGCCGCGCCGCCGCGCTACAGCCGTCGCCGTCATGGGATTACGCCGCGGCGATTGCGAGTCTGAGCGCCCGTCGTGAGCGGTGGCGCTCTCCCACGTGCAACAGCGGTGACGCGGCGCTTAAGACGGCACCACTCAAGCGGTCTGTCCGCTCACACGGCAGCTCTGCCTGTCCGCTCACACGGCAGCTCGGTCTGTCCGCTCACACGGTAGCTCTGCCTGTCCGCTCACACGGCAGCTCTGTTTGTCCGCTTGCACGGCAGCTCTGTCCGTCCGCTCACACTGCAGCTCTGTCTGTCCGCTCACACGGCAGCTCTGTCTCTCCGCTTACACGGCAGCTCTGCCTGTCCGCTCACACGACAGCTCTGTCTGTCCGCTCACACGGCAGCTCTGCCTGTCCGCTCACACGGCAGCTCGGTCTGTCCGCTCACACGGCAGCTCTGCCTGTCCGCTCACACGGCAGCTCTGTTTGTCCGCTTGCACGGCAGCTCTGGCTGTCCGCTCACACGGCAGCTCTGGCACAGTTACGATAACACGTGGGTTTCCCTGAGGGCGACGAATCGGGCCTGGGCACTCGCCCCGACAATGGGGCCCGGCGCGATCTGCCGTAGTCGTTTTATAGTTGGCTCATCTGCGAATCATTAAGACCTGATTCTGTGGCGACGCCATCATTCAAAAGCTGACTTCATGGATCCAGCAGGGCTGGCAAAGGTAGAAAGGCGGTCATTGGGCTCGCCAGTGGCGCACAAAAGGCACTTTTCCTTGGCACAATTTCTATCAGTTATTTTTAGAACCCGCATTTTTCCTCACGTCAAGGGCGTACATCCCTACTCAGAAACGCAGCACACTTCTGCTTCAGAGCAGGCCGGCTGGACCTTACGTGCCCCCGCACCACCTCACCCCTTCCATCCTCCTCGAACCAGAGCACCTTTTCCGTTCTTTCAGTATTATCTCACCCCTTCCGTTCCCCCCGGATCATCGTACTCCTCCCGTTCTCACTGAATCAGCTCACCTCACCCGTTGTCCTCGAACTAGCTCGCCCCTTCCATTCTCCCTGGGTGACCTCACCCTTTCCGTTCTCCCTGGGTCACCTCACCCTTTCCGCTCTCCCTGGGCCATCTCACCTCTTCCGTTCTCCCCGGATCATCTCACCCCTCCCGTTCTCACTGGATCAGCTCACCTCACCCGTTGTCCTCGAACTAGCTCGCCCCTTCCATTCTCCCTGGGTCACCTCACCCTTTCCGCTCTCCCTGGGTCATCTCCCCTCTTCCGTTCCCCCTGGGTCACCTCACTCCTGCCGTTCTCCCCGGATCAGCTCACCCACCGTCGCCGGTACCAGGGCGCGGCTGAGGAGGCCGCCGGCGTCTCCATCCCGTCATGGCGCCGCGGGTGACCCTGCACGAGGCGTGGCGCCGCCCGCGCGCCGCTAGCCGCCAGCCTGTCTCACGCCGAGAAGCGCTGTCACACGCGACGGCGGCGACCGGCGGCGGGTGAGCGGACCGAGTCCGACAGCCGATGACTGGAACAGCGCGCTGCCGCTGCCGGCTGATTGCGTGTCCCGGGCCGGGGCGATCGGCCCCCGGGCTCCCGGCCGATCTCAGCGGGTGGGACGTGACGTCGGTGGTGCGACGTTCGCGTGAGGTAACCTCAAGTGGTTGCATAATCGATTGAGTTTGTCGGGAGCATGACGTGGTGGGAGGAAATGCGGTAGCTCCCATTCCTGAGCAGGCTGTGGGGCCAAGCGTTAAGTTTTACCGATGGGTTCTAGGCTATCTCTTGTGATGAAGAAATGCGTCCATCAGAAACATCGGGCAATTAGTGTCTATTGTCTTTCAGCCATCAACATCACGTGAAATGATGGATTAGCATGGAACGGTTCCCGTCATGGGAATTCCAATCAGTCAGCCCGCTCATTAGCGTACATGCTTTCTCCGAATCAATCAACAGGTTGTCGTTATCCTTACTTCCTCCGTCAGCGCCCTCATGTGCAGCAACGCCTGCCGAGACGGCCGTACCACCCCTCCAAGTATTCTATGACAGTGACTGAACCCAACGAAAAGCTGTTTCTAAATCAATCGGTGGAAATTGGCACAGTGATGCGCCGACAGAGACCTCTAGGGATCATCGCCCTCCGATAGGTTGAGTGTCGTAAAGTTTCACAATGCATTTGGACCAGACGCATTGTTGCTTCGTAAAGATAACATAAAGCCAGGCTTGAATCAAACAAAAAAATATGCCAATCGACGCTCCCAGGCGAGCAAAATAAATTGTTCGTTTTCTAGTGACAACTATAAGTTTGTGTGCAAGGTCAGTCAAGTGCAAATTTAAGGTCAGCTTTCCCGGACTTTGGACACTCGAACTGAACGGTTCCCTCCCCTCGTGAGGAAACCGTTCAGACCGTGAAGTTGTTGTGAACACCTGCTCTCCCCGACGTATTTGCTGCAATTCTCCGTGCCAGGAGTTGTTGCTTCACGCTTTCACAATTCTGCAAGGTTCTACCCTAATGTGAGCAGAACGAAATTCAAACAGAATGCAGTAGCATGTCATTTGAGCAATGTTTTAGATTATAGGATTGCGGCCAGGCACGCAGCGGAAAATTGCGGTATTTAGTTTGTGTGGGGTTCGTCGGAGATAAAAAAGTTTTCTTAAGGACTAAAGCTCAGTCCAGCGGAATAAAAGGAGAGCAGTTCAATCATTTTTTCCTGGAATAAGGGTCGGAACAACGAAGCGCCATTTTTACATCTTGTGATGTTAGCCAAGGCGCTGGTCACACGAAGCTCTAGGTTCGAACGGGAGGTGTAATCCCGTGCCGGACGATGATGGGACCTGGTTATCCGACCTGAGTGAACAGCGAACATCCAAAGCTCTTTCTGGGTCATGGAACGAATTCTTACAGGAACCTGGGAGGCGACATGTCCCTTTGTTCGACGAGTCGGGAGCGACGCAACAAAATGAGCCCAGTAGCTTAGTGCTGCAATTATTAGAATCTACGGCTGAAAAGGAAAGCCTTCAGCGGAAACTGATAATACCCGCTTTAAAAAAGAAAAGATAGGAGTAAAAGCTGCGATACGTGTAGTGGAGTGTGCGACGAAGCAGCTTATCGACAACGAATAAACCGTGAGTGTTACGAATCTACCATTGTTCCATTATCCAGCAGAGGCTCAGCAAGGCAACGCGCTGGGCTCCAAGCCAGGCAGCTGCCGGTCAGACAGGCTGACCGGCAGAGAGCGTAGGACGGAGGACAGAGGACGGCCGGTGTGATGTAACGCCGTCACGGCTGGCGCGCCACTTTCGCCGAGGGTGCGCCTCTCTCACCCCGGCGGCCAGCTGGTTCGACGGGACATCGGAGACGGACCGGGACGACCAGGCGCGCGACTGAGGCGGGATGCGGGACAGTTAAGGATCGGGACTTTTGGGAAGGCTCATTCCGCGCACACGGAGGGCGTGGGTCGGTGCCCAACATCAGTTTGTTTGCATGGTCACAATCGTATTGATGGGCGGATTTCATGAGAATGTTAGATGCGCTCATAAATATACTTGAGGTGCATTCCGCAGTGGAACTCAACTGCATCAGCCTCAGCCCTGCCGATTATGCCCATCCTGATTCGGCCTGGCTGTCCGGCGGGACTGGGAGAAGAGGCTCTCGTTACAATGCCCCCCCCCCCCCCCCGCCCTGTGCCTTCGGTACTGACCGTTGACGCTGTGGGGCGGAGGTGCGAAGAACCTGACGTACTGGTCCTCCAGCCGGGTTTCCACCGCCAGCTGGTCCTTAAGCTGCTCGATCTGCTCCCGAGCCACGTCACTCGCCGACACGTGCTGGGGGGGGGGGGGGACGACGGTTTGCATCAGCCGCTGACGTTCGCCGCGGGGGTGGAGCTCGCGCCTAAATGTTCAGTCAGCCAAGGAAATCGTGATGAAAGCCTTCAGGATTAGCATGTTTTTATATCTGAAAGTAGTTGTTAGATATCAAGCAGGTATGGGATTCGCTTATGCAACTGGACCAACTGCTTTAATCACGTATGCATGGGGAACTAGCGCAACATTATGACCACGACACGAAAGCCCGGGTGAAAAATGACGAAAAAAGGTGCAGCGATAAATATATCTGCCGGAACGGCATCTTACAATGGCGAAATGTTGTAATTGTGGCAATTTCAGTGAAAATGAGTGCGACCACCACCAATGCCACCACTTAGCGTGCGCAGTGCACAACCGTAGAACTACATCCTGCACTTATGTAAGAAACTGCAAGTGCACTTATCACAGGTGAACTAATTTGTATTTGCATTTTGACTCGTTTATTTGTAACTGCGCATCGCACAGCGTTTTTTTTTTTTAGCAACGCACATTGCATGTGCAGACCAGAACGATTTTAATTACGCATAGGATAGCCTCCGTATGTCCAAGCTTGCCTAGTGATAGTTGCTTATGTCACCATGAAAATCGAACCAACCTGGAAGTGGAAATGTCAGCAAGAATTCCAAAAAATCCACCGGGAGATTCGCACGGCTGCCAGTTACTGACTTCGACACAACAAACGCCCACCATGCCTCGGCGGTAGTCCTCGCGTTCCGCCCGCCCACTCACCTGCACCAACAGCACTGCGACGAGCGCGGCGCACGTCCACTCGGCGCGTCGCCCGGCTGCAGCCATGGCGGCGGCGTCTCTGCGGGTCAGGGTGGTGCGTCAGAGCGCGGTCCCGCATGTGTGACCGGCCGACAGCCGGAGGCCGCGGCCCTGGGCGCTGGCAGTGCCGGCCGCTGCCGCCTCACACCCGGCGCGGCCCGCCGCCACGAGGTCTCCAGGCCGGGCGGTGCGTGGCCCGCTGGGATGTGGGGTGCTGTTTGGCCTTTGACGTTGCGCGCGGACTGGGTCAGATAGGGGACCGGTGACATGGCCGCATGACACGCGGAAGAGGCGCTGCGGCGGCTCGAGGTCGTTTCGTGAGAACGCATCGCACGCGACATTCGCTAGCCGTCAGCCCAACTTGATGTCGAACAATACTTATCCACCTTTGTTCCTAGGCAAAACTGGAACAGGAGATCACGACGAAAGTCCCGCACGTGCAGGTGCGTCGTGTAGCCTTATCGTCACCATTCACCTCCATCGGGACCAGCGGGGCGTGACTACGAACTGAGCACTGGAACGCCCACCCCATGGAGCAGAGGCGAGTCAACACTCGCCGAAAGGCGGGCCCATCCACCGGCACCGTTCATGTTTTGTATGACGCAAGCTTTCGCAGCTCGTGCGCTCGCGCTTTGCCTCTGCCGCTCTCACGCACCGCGGATGCTGTGAGAGCCGTGGAGAGAAAACGGCCCACTGCAAATGCTTCCTAGAAAGGGGAACGCAGCTATGAAAACAATGCGGATTTCTACATTGTGGATTGCGGATAACATGGCCGTGCGCTGTAGCGCGTTTACCTGCACACTGAAGCACGCATTGTCTACATCCTCACAATGGATGTAATGTGGGAATCTGGTTTGTAAAATGGACATCTGTTTTGAAATCGTTTCTGCGCATGCAACAGCTCCATAATTTTTTAGGCTCCGTTTATAGGCTCTCACATACGTTACAATGTGGAAGTTGATCCCAGTCCAGATTCCTTTTAGCATTGAGACTATGAAGCTAGAAACGACAAGCCATATGGGTTCCTATGCTTAGACTATATCGGCGGCCCGGGACTTGTTTCAACGTCATATTCGATGGACGGTCAATTTACCCGGGATTTGTGGCGATTGAGCGCTTTCATAAGTGAAATTACCATCGGTAAACCTTGCCGCCGGGCGTCAGCTGGGGCGCCCGAGAGTTTCCCACATTTCGTTGACCTCTGGCATTGTTTGTGTGTCAACGCCGCGGAGGGTGCACGACCTATAATTATGGACGCCCTGGACCTCCTGCGGTTGCCATCTCGTGGCGAGGATTACCCACTGGTTTGTGTGGAAGTGTTCCGCAAAAACACTCGATCTCGGCGTGCGAATGATCCCGTGTTTCGGCGTGCGAATGATCCCGTGTTTCGGCGTGCGAATGATCCCGTGTTTCGGCGTGCGAATGATCCCGTGTTTCGGCGCGCGAATGATCCCGTGTCTCGGCGCGCGAATGATCCCGTGTCTCGGCGCGCGAATGATCCCGTGTTTGGTGCAGATGGCTCGGCGCGCGAATGATCCCGTGTTTCGGCGTGCGAATGATCCCGTGTCTCGGCGTGCGAATGATCCCGTGTTTCGGCGTGCGAATGATCCCGTGTTTAGTGCAGATGGCCGCGAGCGCAGATGGTCGACACTCCACGCAGACGGCACTGGCGGCCATCGCCCCCAGCCTCAGCGTCCGTTATCCATCGGGTGGTTTGTTGCCACGTTTGTTGCCACGTTTGTTGCCACGTTTGTTGCCACGTTTGTTGCCACGTTTGTTGCCACGTTTGTTGCCACATATTTGCTGGGGTAGCGCAGCCCCCAATGTTTCGTGAGAATATGCGTCTCCTGTCTAAACAGATACTGACGGCAGTTGAAGGCTGCAAGCCGTATCTTGCCAATGGGATGTATGCTTACTTTATTGCTGGAGGAAGAAAGTGGATGCTCGTTCAAGACAATCTTGTATCGCCGTTATGATGTGCTTCTTTGAATCCAGATTTTTCTCGCGTGTTAGGTACTTCGCACCTTGGCCGGATTGAGCTGGTTTTACAAGAAGACCAACAAACAACATTTGATGTAGAGTTAGGCATGTGCTCTTCAATAACTATCACATTCTTTTAAGTGATTTTTTATTATAGAAGCTTGCGGATCGATGAGTAACTTAAAATAATATTTTGGCTATCAACAACAGTTTATCGACCATTCCAGGTATCAGCTGAGAGGCTTCACTCTACAGAGGAGGGCCAATTTGGCACGGATGAGAGTCCTCAGCATGCTGACAGATTTGATACTCCAGCACAAGGAGAAGAAAGCCGGCTTGAAGCTATGGTACAACCTGAAGCGATTCGAGTACGGCCTATAGCGACGGGATCAGACACTTGGAAAATATTTTTCACATGCAAATGAGCGGTTGTCTCCGCACCAGACGGGGCACATCCGGGCCACGCGTCCATGCATGTTATCCTATCTTCAAACCCGATGCCGCTTCACACATCGCTCACAATGGGATGTAACTGAAGGTAAACAAGGCTGCTGCCGCAGCTGGAAACCTAATGTACCGTCTGTGAGTCACTTGGGGGTGAATTTACTTCGCAAGATGACGTCTCACCAGGGTGTCAGGGCAACATGGGGTGCTCTATGCAAGGTACGTATGTGCGATGCGAGTCACGAGCTCCTGAACGGGGACTCGGCCGCTCTGCCGCCCTCCGACCACACGGCGTCCTTCGGCGACGCCCGGTGAGCGCGCTGGAGGCGAGGGACGCGCCGAGGCGGTGCCTGACCGGATCGCCCGCTCTCCATGAATGTGTTTACGCGCAGGGGCGCCGGAGAAAACGACCGACGTCAGAGGCGAGAGGCGCGCTCGTGTGGGGGGGGGGGGGGGAGGGAGGGAATGGCGTCCGAGGCCGACTGGCCCGTAATTAACACCTGCTCGTAATTTACACCCGTCCCCGAAAATACCTTGCATTGCGAACGCGGCGAAGATCGGACGCGGTATTCCGGCCGACCGGCTGGTACGCGACCGCGCTTCAAAACAGGGCTATTTCGGCGCGGGCGCCGCCGTGCTGGTCGCGGGCCGCGGCGATGACCGGCCGCACCCCGAGCGTTGCCGCTTTCCTCCTGCCGCGGCCGTGACGGCGCCGCCCCGCCTTCTCCGTGTCGTCCGCCGATTTCTCCGGCTATGGTTTCGGCCTGGGTGACACGAGTGCGGGGCGCCCGGCAGCCCGGGGCTCCGTCTCAGGGTGAGCGCGCCGCCGGACGCCGGGTGCCGGCCCGGACCGCAGGTGCGGGTGGGTGGTCGGGCCGCGCGCGTTCGCCAGACGACAGATGGTGCGGGGTTATCGTTCGTGTGCGGCTGGGATGATGAATGTGCTGGGTTTTTTTGGGTCTAGCAGGCTTTCAGTGGGTCGAATCTGGCTAAACTTTTGGGACGGCTGATGCGGCTGAGCGTTCAGTTCTGAACTGTAGACGCTATTCTGACACTTTAACTTCACTGCTTTTATCGGCATGGTTTTCTCGTGCATGTTTCTCCGCTGTCTGTTGGTGCATCCGCCACGACTATGAGCTTGGATAACATAGCGTCATGTTTTCACTCAGCTTAGCTGTCAATGTAAGCCAGCCGCAACACAGCGTTAGAATTACATCACCGGACCGGATCAGCATCCAATACATTGCCTCACATCACTTTCGATGTGGGATGAAGTCCGTCCCCGGGTGCTCAAATCAGCTGTTGTTCGTCGAGACGAAAACGCCATGGATGACGCTTGAAGCCGCCTCCGGGTCGCTTATGTAGTTTGGAGGTATTGGGAAACGTAGTCTTGGTGGGATGGCTTGTTAGAAGAGACTCAGCCATTCAGAAAGTGATGGCGCTGGAGATTGTTTTATCAGATCATAAAATCTGGGTTCCAGCGTGGCTTCCGAGGTTTCTCTGTGTAGGTGCTAAAATACGGCATGGCGGAACAGATATCCGACATTAGACCTTATAGGTGTGAGGTCTGTTCCAGGGATGTTCGGGTTTGGGGTCTAACAGCCTCTACTGACGTGACGCACATGACCTAGTGTGGTCATGACCTACACGCATGACCTAGTGTGGTCATGACCTGCACACGTGACCTAGTG